TTAATAATTAATTTTTTTAATGATGATTTTGAGGAGGAGGTTAAGATTACAATCAAGGGTTTTTTTTTTATTTTTTTTTTAAATAGAATAAAAAAATCTAATTACACAAAATTATTTTTATAAAAGAAATATGAAGTGTTGTGCTATTACGATACGGAGGTTAAAAAAATAATTGAATCCTAAGTCATTACTACTATTATAAGTAACAGAATTTACTTATATTAAAATATTTTAATTAATTCAAAAGTGTAATAAAGTCGTTGATATTAAATTTAAATTAATTATTATAACATTATTAATGTATTAATAAATTAAATTATTAATTTTATTTATTTAATAATATAAGACAGATTAAAATTAGAATTAAAAGATGAGAAGGCGTAGAAGATGCATTCAAGAAAATGTGGATCTTATTCAATTAAAAACACTTTTAATGCTTAAAACACTAAAAAAAATGAATTAATAATCTCAAACAATTAATAAAATTTTTATAAAAAATATTGGATATGGAAGACAAGAGAGTAGTAAGAAATATTTTTAATTTAGAATTATTTATAAAATTTGTGTCGTAATATATAGTTTTGATGTGCATTATAAAATAGCTATAATCAAAAGATGATATAAAAATTATATAATAATAACTTAAACTTTTAACTCTACTATCAACTTGATAATGTTTAATAAAATCTGGTTGATTTTATCTTTTTCGTTTCTAATCATATAATTTTGAATTAATTGCTAAGTGAATCAATTAACTTAGTTGATAGATATCTTAATTTAGTTGAAGATATCTCTACTTAATTTTTATGTATTTTTGAATTATAATAATTTAATATTTTAAAATTAATTATCAACAAATTATTCATTAGATGTCTCAGTTGATATACACAATGTATATATACATATATATATATATATAATTTAGGTTGAAATGGGTGATAATTAGTTTTGGTTTAGTGTTTGTTTATAATTATTAATAATGAAGATAAATAATTTATAAAAAAATAATAATAATAATAATAATAAATAATGGAGAGAAATGAGTTTACGTTGGTCAAGGGATAAGGCAAAGGGAGACAGAGAGAGGAATTGCGACAAGAAGAACTGTTGGTTGGAATGACATCCACCATTCCATTTATCATATTTTCTGTCTAATCACCATAAAAGCCGGATTAATCAGACCATGTATGTTCCCTACTATTATTAATTAATTAATTAATTAATCAATCATTTCTACACCCTACTTGTAATTAGATCTCAATTATTTATGCAATCTCTGACCTCATTACAAAATTTCCATCTCAATATATTTATGTATTTATATATAAGCATTTTGGGTACGTGAATTTTAATGATATTGAGTTTGCAAAATCAAAAATCTAGCAAGTAGGTTTATGATGATGTGGGGAAATCTTGGAGGTGTGAATAATGTAAATTGGGAAGTGGGAATTTTAGTGATTTAGGTAAAGTTAACAACTGGGTAATGGGAATATGCGGTCCAAATACTTTTTACTTTGTTTTTTAGTCGTGTGGTGAATTGATTGGGTTGTAAGTTTTATTTAAAACAAAACAGAAATGAAAAGCAAAAGTAAAATTTGGGGTTTAAATTAGTAACTAAAGAAATGGGAGTCATTGTCCAAAGTCTCGAAAATACTAGGCTAGATATGTTGGAAAAATAAAGGGTGATATGTAGAAATAGCATAGAGAAAGAGAAGGCGGTACTAAATTATAAGTGGGGTTTTAATTAATCAAACACACAAATAATTAATTCAAGAAAATGAAAGGAAGGAAATGTATTTTGTACCAAAGATTTCATACCCACATCTTTTATTCCTTTTCATTTTATACATTATTATTATTATTATTATTATCATCATCAACAAATTACGAAATATATATATATATATATATTTATTAATGTAGATTGGGGCAGCATATTCTTAAATCAAAATTGGGCTTAATCCTACCAAACGCCTGGTGGCCCAATGGCTGGGTAACCCATTTTTGGCCTTTCTTAAATTTTTGTTTATTCACTCTATTTTTGATGAAGATATACGTAAACGTTTTTCAAGATATTCTTTGTTTTGTTTATTGACACGTACCTCGACTTCAATGTTCAAGTTGATTAATGAGGATGATGAGTAAGTAGAAAATACTTGTGTATGGCTCGGGATGATTTTTCTATTTATAAATAAATATATAAATAATTAAAAATTTTATTTTAATTAAATTATTGAAAAAAATAAATTAGATACATAATTAAAAGCAATTTTGAAAAAAAAAATTGGAGAAATTGAGAATAAGATAGGTGCTTTTGAAAGAAATTTTGAAAAAATGGAGTAAAATCGTAAAAATAGAAAGTTTGGCCACGTGAGACTCTCTAGTCAGCAGCCACGACGAAGCAGAGCACACCGTGTGACAAACATGCTGACATCAATACTACGCAGGAGGACATGCAGAAGATTCGTGTGTCTGATGATTCGACGGTCCAGATCACATTACGTGCGCATGGATGACCCAGATGTATTTCCTCTTCAAGCGCAATCGGATGGATGTGGTTGATCTCAATGGACGGTTCAGATTCATCCATGCAATCAGCCTAAACGAAATATCATCCAACGGTCCTCTTTACTCCACATCGACTCAAACGAGCGGTCTGCATTGAATGGAGAGGAGTATTTAAACTCCTCTTCGCAGGGAATCAAAATCCTAGCCGACAGAAAGGTGACTGGAGAAGAAGAAGAAGGGTGTCTGGGGAAGGAACCAGACACAAGAGAAGGAGGCTGACCACTGTCGCTGTCGCATAAAAGCCACCACCGACTCTAAAACATGTATTTTTTCTCCTTCCGCTCGGAATTTAATCTCGAGCCTTCTTATACCCATATCGAAACCAAATGATCGACGGATGAGCTAAAAATTGCAGATAAAAATCGGCCAAGTCGCCACAATAAAAACCCAAAACTCTCTCCGATAACCTCCTTCCCGTTTTCCATTTTGCGTGATTTTGTGACCACCATGTCCACCATTTTTTTCTGGTGCAGGTTAATCGAAGAAGAACCCTAGTCACGAAGGAGAACCGGTAAAGTCGCTGCACCCGATGACCCCCGGCCGGTAAGTTTTGATTTTTTACCTTTTTTGTCCAATTGAGGTTTTTTAACTCATTTTTTTGCAGGTTTACGCGTAAAATTGGCCAAAACCAATCTAAACCGGTCGAAACCGGTCAGGCCGAGGTGAACCACTGCTGTGGGCGAAAGTGCCGCCGTGCCGGAATCCTAAAATTTGCCGGAAGGGTTTTAAAACGCATATTTTAGTACTTTAGGATATTTTTGAATACTTAACTAATGTTTTAATTTCCACATGAAAAATCCAAGAAATCCGGAGACCGTCAAGAGGCGCAGTAGACAATACGGTATTTTAAACACCTAAGAATAATTACATATCACTAATGAAGGAAGAACCGATCAGTTTACATTTGTCCTGGTTTACTGTTTATTTTTTATGTACTGCTTAAAATGCTTATTATTATATTGTGTGAATTAAATTGATAGACTTAATTACTCTCTCAGTTAATTAGTTTACCTCACTGCATATTTTCCATTTGTTGGTTCAGTTTGCAATAAATGTTTAAATTATGTTTTCTGATGTATGTATCGCCTATTTGCATGACTTATTATTGATTTATAAATATAAGTTATTGGTATGTAACTAGTAATCGGTTTATACTTTAAATTTATGTAAAAAATGTTTACTAGGTATCTTAGGAAATGGTGGACGGACCTGGTACATAAAAAATCCTAATGTAGATTTTATGTCAGTCAGACAGGACTAAGAAGTCCTATACCGAAAGGATTTGAGAAATATGATTCATCCTCATGCTGGACAAGATATCGAGGGTATGGTGTGTTTGGGACCCATTACCGAACGGGGTATAGGAACAGTCGCATTAATTGACAAATCTAAATATTGGGTTCACAAGTAGGAGAAAATCCTTATGGACCCCTAGGAGTTCTAGTAAGCAAGTAAAAAAAGAAAAATTGCAATTTTTGTTCACTTATAAATGAAATCATAAAGTTATCTGAGTAATTATTTTTATAAGTTGATTTTGGAAAACTCGTAAAGGTAAGTATGAAATAAACGATTTTCTTTATGGTAAATGAATTTATTTAAATTAAGGGTTCAATTAGTCGTTTTATGTTTTTTTACCAACATTCGGTTTCTGTATTAATGATTAGTGTAATATTTTTACTAAACTACTGTAACTCACCCTCCTATTAATAATTTCATATAAAGAAAACTAAGATACAGATCCTAATCAACAGAAAGGTTGTGAATAGGTTTCCTCTCGGACTCCATCAAGTGCTAGTAGAGGTTAACCCCCTAAGACATTTCTTTACTATTTTCCATTAGTTATTTCGTTTCTTTTTATGAACTGCTGTAAAAAAAACATTCTCGTAACCCTATTAGACATATATAATTACTGTGTAAGAAATGTAAACTATAATATTATTATTTGTTTCTGTATTTAAAGTATGAATTTGTTTCATTTAATTTCTGAGTCTTTACATATGTTGTGGTTCATTATGACAAAGACCAATTTAATCACTGTAATCCCTGACATAATAATGAATATCACCATAACCTTTAAGAAACTGACGAATTAAATTATTTATCCTACTAAATGAAATATCATAAGTCAATTAATATAAGTTTATAAAACAATTATAAAGTTACAAAATTTATCTTATCATTAAGATTTGAACTCGTGATCTAAAAAAAAAACAAAAATTTCAATCCTAAACCATTATATTATAAATAATTAGTGTTTTTCTTTTTGTTACACAATCATATGGAGACATCTTCTTTATCACCAAGTATTCTTATGTTCAAAAATCAACTTCTTCACGTAGATCTTGCTTTTCTTCTTCAACATTGTGCATTATATATCTAGTTCACACAAGAATTAGAATTTGAAACCATTCAATGCCGTTTTTCCTGTTTGTATCTGTTTACATCAATATGTTTGAAAAAATTTCCTCCCAAGTTCCAACCAACTGAAAAATAAAAACAAAAAGAAAAAAAAAAATCAATCCCCCACAAAATCCCTCGAGAAAATTAGACATTCAATTTCTGCAAGAGTTGCTGCGATTGCCCAATGAGCTCTTCCTTCTCTTTCTTATGAAATAAAAGATCAACCCACCAAAAATTAGCATAATTATCAGACTATCAACCACTGCGACCAACACCACCACCCATTTTTTCACGTTGGATTTACTGTGATTTCCATGGCTTCCTTTGGGAACCTTTACCATGTAACTGAATCCACTATCCCTTTCAACCTGTTTAACTCCCATCACCACTCCGTACAGAAAGCACTCTCTTGGATCTCCCGATGAATACAATGCAGCAACACATTCACAATCGTTGATGCAGAAATTCGCGCAGGCTTCCTTGGTAATATTAATAATTGTTTTAGCGTCTTTCAGTATGCTACTCACACCGTGTAATTCAAGCATGTCGACTGGAAATCCACCATTACAGAACCCATCAGAGATTTCTTTACCGCAAGCAGAATTTCTCATCTGGGTTTGCTTCAGCAAAAGCCGGATACACGAACAAGAATTGGAAAACGTGCAAATGCCGTAAGGATTACATGCTAAAGGGAGATCACATGTATTTTTTGAGTGCTTGAAATGAGGCCTCGAATTTCTTTTTCATGGCTGAGAAAATGTAGAGACCTAAATTTCCTGTTGTGTTCTCCAGTGATAAGAATCTCGGGGGTTGAATTGATGGTATCTGTGCGATTTGTGATTTTTATCATTGTATAATTCCAACCCTTTTGTACCCAATCCGAGATAGGAGATGTTTCTGTTCTGGGTAGGTTTGAATTCCCAGTAAGAGTACTTGACTTTACCTGAATTCAAATAAAGAGCGACCTTGTTGGGGTGTATTTCGAAAGTGTAGAATGAGTTTGAGTTAGTAGGAAACGAAGCCAAGCGAGTAGCAATGTCTAATCTCTGTCCCCACAGCATCACATCAGTTGGAAAATTGAAACTCTGCCATTTTATAAGGTTTATTGAATCTACCAGGACTAGATTGCCTGTTCTCTGTATTTGAAGTCTCTGCGAGAAACATCAAGAGAGATTATAATGTTGATGACGATGATGATGATGAATTTGAAATGGATTATGTTCTTTTTTTTTTTTTTAATTACCTCTACGCCTTGTCCAGAAGTTCCAGTTCGCCATCCAACTCGATCTTTAGGACCCGTCAATTGCAAGTCTCCATTTGAAGTGAGCTCAAGAACGCAGATATCAGAGGTGTAAAACTTGGAATAATGGCCAGAATTCCAAACCCTAACATCTCCAAGAAGAACTTCCAAGGAGCAGGAATACTTTTGACCAATAGCTTCAACAGTCAATGCAGCTCTGAAACTGGGTTCATTTTCATTTTGGTCGCCTTGCAAAACATAAGCTCTTCCTATAAATCCAACCATGTATTCTACAGGAACTGCAAGCGTCAATCTATAACCCACATGAATGTCCGATTTACAATACCCATTCGGCAAAAGAAGAATGAGACCCAGAAAGCTGAAAACGCACAGCCTCATGACCAATCCCAATTTGCAGAGTTTCTCATTTGATGAAAGTTGAAAGAAAGAAAGGAAGTGAAGGGGGAAATAAAAGGTGTAGTGGGGTTAGCAATTTGATTGTGAATAGTAGTGTCTTAATTTTGTTTTTACTCAAACAACATGGTGAGCTGGAGTATATAAAAAGTTAAGCTAATTTAACTGTCAAGCCATTAAGTTCATTTACTTATATTAAGGACCAAAAAGTAAGACACCATTATCCTGCACAGGCTGTCTATGTGAAATTTTATTTTTTTTTTTAATTAAAACAGTTTCCCAATACTCAAATTTACACGAAGATTATTATGAAAAAGGCAGGCGCAAACTACATAGATACATACATATATATTATATTATATTATATAAGCTTGTAGTTTTGTAATGAGGAATGTGATGTAATGCGGGACATGATTCTGATAATTTGGTTGGATGAATTGAGGGCTTCTTCTTCTTTTGTGAGTGGGAGTTGAATGGAGTTCTTTGAGTGGGAATGTGAAAGAGATGAAATGAGTGGGTGTCTGCCACGTGTGTAAATCTCCAATTGCCACGTGTGACTGGTGCTTGCTGACATTTCTCCGGCGCTTGGATGACGTGTGCTGCCGAATGTCAACTGAATCTTCTTGTTCAGTTTCTTTTGGAATCCTAGTCAGCCTAAAATCCTTAAGCTCCGCCATTGACTGGAGAAAGACCCAAAAGTTAAAAGACAGTTCGACTTTGACTTCTCCGAAAATCTATATGATAACCTTTCCGATACTAGTTTCCTTCTTTATTTTATCCAGAAACCCAACGAGTTTCGTTGATCACTTTAATTTTAGTTTAATTTGGCTGCAAGATTAGAAACTTTCCTCGAAAACCCAAATCCGATTTGACTGCTCTCCTCACAATCCTGCTTTCCTAATGTACTACAACATCATAAGATGCCACTTCCCCTGCATCCTCCGCTACGGATGCTCTTCGTCTTCTTCATCTTCTCTTCTCTTCTCTTTTCTTTTGTTTGCAGGATTCTGCAAGTCCTAAGGTTACAGATTTAAATGAAGAGAGGAGAATGATTGATTCCGAAAATAATAACTTGTCTGGTAGAAGCTGGACGAGTCTGCTTTGCCTGCTCAATTTAGGAAGAAAGAAGCTTGCTCATGGGAAGGGGTGGGATTTGAAGCAGGAATGTTGCTGGAATTTCAGTAGCTAACAAGAACATGAATAGTTCTGAAAGTTTGGTTAAAGATGAACCATGTCATATGTGTCCGCCAAGAAATAGATTTTCTTGTTTAAGGAAAGCTTATCGGGCAAAGGGCAAGGGAAAAAACAAGGGCATGCAGCAAAGAATTCAAGAAGTTAATCTAAGGGGTATTGAGATCCGGGATGGTCCTTTTGAAACACTACCTCAACCCCCACGAACAGGTCCTGCTTGATTCCTTCATTTCAATTAAGAAAAATTTATAATATTGAATGCCAGAATAGACCAGCTACATACCATTTTCATTTTAGTTTTGGTAAAATAAGGATCTTTTGTTTGGGAATTAGATGTAGCATTTGTTTCAAAAGAATTATTACTGGACTTTTTAGAAATTGCAATATGATGACTCGTTTATAACTACTTACAAACTCATAACTTGCCTTATATTTTTTTATTTTTAATAGACAGTAACAAAGAAAATATAAATTATCAGTTTTAGTTTTTACTTTATTCATGTGTTAAACCAATACCATCCATTTGATTATTCCAGACTGAAGTAGCAATGAGTTTTATGTTGAACCGTTATATTGGTCTCAGTATTTCAGTTTAAAATAGTAAAAACTTGTCAAGAACTTGTATATGCTCTGGAAAATTTTCTGGCCTGGTTATAAAGATGGAGCAAAACTTCGTCTGCAGGTGATGTATCTGAATTTAAATTTCACATCCTGAAACAAAATATGCAGATCTGCAATCAGGTCAAGATTGTGAAGTATCTGGTACTCCCCATGAATTCGGTCTCTTGGTTTAATGAGCTATTACCGATGCAGATTATCTTATTAAGAAGGATAATTGGATAACAAATGTTAAAGAGGTACTTCCAGCAATGTCTCTGGATATATGCATTGTATACTGTTATATAACTAGTGGGTGACTTGGCCTATATCAGGTATATGACAAACTTTCAACTGTTAAATGATGAGGCAATTTTATCTGTTACTTCTTCTTTCCTTGTAGCATAGTAAAAGGAACTAGGAAGATTTTCCAGGAATCCAATATATTATCTCCTCCAATTTTTAGCATTGTAACCATTATATCGGTATCAGTGTTTATAGTTTAAGATTATAAAAACTTGTCAAGAACTTGGTATATGCTCTCAGAGATTTTCTCGGCCTAGTTATAAAGATGGAGCAAAACTTCGTCTCCAGATGATGTATCTGGATTTAAATTCACATTCTGAAATAAAATATGCAGATCTGCAGTCCGGTCAAGATTGTGAAGTATCTGGTACTCCCCATGAATTCTGTCTCTTGGTTTAATGAGCTATTACCGATGCAGATTATCTTATTAAGAAGGATAATTGGATAACAAATGTTAAAGAGGTACTTCCAGCAATATCTCTGGATATATGCGTTGTATACTTTTATATAACTAGTGGGTGACTTGGCCTATATCAGGTATATGACAAACTTTCAACTGTTAAATGATGAGGCAATTTTATCTGTTACTTCTTCTTTCCTTGTAGCATAGTAAAAGGAACTAGGAAGATTTTCCAGGAATCCAATATATTATCTCCTCCAATTTTTGGCATTGTAACCATTATATCGGTATCAGTGTTTCAGTTTAAGATTATAAAAACTTGTCAAGAACTTGGTATATGATCTCAGAGATTTTCTCCGCCTGGTTATAAAGATGGAGCAAAACTTCGTCTGCAGGTGATGTATCTGAATTTAAATTTCACATCCTGAAACAAAATATGCAGATCTGCAATCAGGTCAAGATTGTGAAGTATCTGGTACTCCCCATGAATTCGGTCTCTTGGTTTAATGAGCTATTACCGATGTAGATTATCTTATTAAGAAGGATAATTGGATAACAAATGTTGAAGAAGTACTTCCAGCAATTTCTCCGGATATATGCGTCGTATAGTGTTATATAACTAGTGGGTGACTTGGCCTATATCAGGTATATGACAAACTTTCAACTGTTAAATGATGAGGCAATTTTATCTGTTACTTCTTCTTTCCTTGTAGCATAGTAAAAGGAACTAGGAAGATTTTCCAGGAATCCAATATATTATCTCCTTCAATTTTTAGCATTGTAACCATTATATCGGTATCAGTGTTTCAATTTAAGATTATAAAAACTTGTCAAGAACTTGGTATATGCTCTCAGAGATTTTCTCCGCCTGGTTATAAAGATGGAGCAAAACTTCGTCTCCAGATGATGTATCTGGATTTAAATTCACATCCTGAAATAAAATATGCAGATCTACAGTCCGGTCAAGATTGTGAAGTATCTGATATTCCCCATGAATTCGGTCTCTTGGTTCAACGAGCTATTACTGATGCACATCATCTTATTAAGAAGGATGATCGGATAAGAAATGTTGAAGAAGTATTTTCCAGCAATTTCTCCGGATATATGCATTGTAAACTTCTATACAACCAGGGGGCGACTTGGCCTATATTAGATATACGGCAAACTTTCGACTGTTGAATGATGGGCAATTTTATCTTTTTCTTCTTCTTTCCTTGTAGTACAATAGAAGGAACTTGGGAGATTTTCCAAGAATTTAATATGTGATCTCCAATTTTTAGTACATTCACGACACGAAGAACTCAGGAGAGATCCTGATATGATCATTCATATACTTTCTAATCCATTCATTTGTTTCTTGCATTTTGGAATTTGTTTTTCTTTATAATCAAGTTCCACATAAGCAGAGTATTACAAAGACCAAATTTCATTCTCAGTGTAGTTTCCAAGCATATGAAGATGTTGTCTCTTTGGTGATAAATTTGAAGGACTATTATAGCAATTTCTGTTATTACTTTTGCCGAGGAATATCATATATTTTCTGTCAAACGAACTTCTTATGAATAACGAAAAATGTTGGTTGAGAACGCAAATGCAAATTGTTCTTCAGAAAAAAAAAAGAAACAATTGAGACGGCTTCAATTACTATATATGCAGGATCATGATGAAAACAGAGAGAGTATCGGTTTAAGGGGTTACCTTTTGATCTCCATTTCTATTAGGCAATTCGACTGAGTTCCTGCACGGTGATGAGAGATATGCAGACAAGGAAGAGAAACTTGTATTAGAACCAGGGGATGTATTGATATTCGGTGGTATGTCTACAATGGTTTTCCATGGTATCTCATCTATCAATAAGATCTTAGCTCTTAAGTCTTTACTAAAAGAAACCAATCTTCAGGCTTTCGAAAATTTGTAATCTGATCTGCTTGCATGATCATTCAGAGTATAAACTTTTGTGTGTAAGTCATTTGTTTCGCAATTATTAGTGTTGTTATTCGTACAAATATTTGATTTAGATTATAATTTAATTGCTGATTTTATAGTTTTAACTTAAACGCTAGTGTGTAATTAACTAACTTGGTAAACAAAACTGAACTCGAGAAGAAAAGTAAAGAGAGGTGCAAAATAAGTTCTGGGTATATGTACATATGCATATTATAATATTAATATGATATGAGGATTGTAAACAAGTAATATAAACTAATACATGCAATGTGTTAGATGTCAGTAAACCAGAAAGGAAGACAAGCTATATAAACTTGACGACGTATACGCCAGGTTTGTATTGTATCAGCAAGATAAGATCCTATTTTAATAAGGCACTCGCTGTCTGCTACTGAATCGTTTTTGTTC